CTTCCATGGGGCTTTGCAACACGGTTGACCCCGGGACCTCCAGTGTGGTATGCACACTTCCTCCCCCCACCTGCACCGACCGTTGGTCCCTCTAGAACTTTACTATTTTTTTCCAAATATATATTATTGTATAATATTATATATATTATACGTTTGCTTTCTTGCCTTCTCTTGATCTAGAAATTGGCAATTTTGAATTATGTGTACATTATTATCTGCCTGCTTCACCTTAATTTTATGCCATTAGTTTAGTTTACACCATTTCATTAAATATACTTTAACAGCGTGATCTTAATGGCTTAGTAGAATATATAATATTCATTATATGGCTGTATCATAATTCAGTTAATGATTGCTATTTTTAGGTGTTTGGGTCCTTCCTGGGTTTTTAAGTACATATTTACTGCAGCGAATAAGCTTGTGCTTAAAGTCTTGCCTCATCTCTGATTATTTCCTTAAGATTGATTCCTACCAGTGGAATTAGTGTGTCAAAGGATATGAACATTGTTAAGTCTCTTGATACAACGTCGAATTGATTTCTAGAGGGTTGTACCCACTCACTCCTCTATCGACAACTCTGAGAATGCCCATTTCTCCACCAGTAGGATTGAGATCAGCTTGTAAGTAAAATCCTTTCTAATTTAATAGATGAAAAAAAATTCTTCTCGTTATTTTGATGTGCATTTTTGAGTCAGGTTGACTATATTTTCCTAAGCTTATCCATCACTTGTGTTGTTCCCTTGTGAACCGACTGTGAATTTCGCCTGTTTTTCTTCAGGGTATCTAGTCTTATTGATTTGCAGAAGCTCATTGTATATTGAGATGTAAACCGTTTGTTGTAATTGTTGCAAGTTTCTCTCTGTCTCTACTGGTGGCCCCGGGCCCGCACCAGCCTCGGCTCTGCTGGCCCATAGTACCAGTGCAGGGCTCGGTGTCTCGTGGATGGAAACACAAGTTTCCGGCTTCATCAGAGCTAGTGAGCCGCACCCCACTGTCAGGGTCTGAGTGAGGGTCTGTCCACGGTCCCACTATCAGCACAGCAGTGGGCGTGGTCTGACGGGGTGGGGATGGGGGATGCCCATGCTCCCCTCTGACATTCATTTCTTTTCTGGCCAACACCTCCGACTTCGTTGCGGCTCATTCGGACCCTGCTAGCCAAACCATTAGGGACCGTCTTTCCCTCTGCTTCCTCATCCTGCTCCTCAGTCGCCCATAACAGAAGCTTTTGCTAAGCCCAGGCTGGGGTGGGGGAGTTGGCTGAGGACTCAAGCCTTACAGCCCAGTCCTCTGGCCCTGCCTCCTAGGGGCCTGCCTCAGTGCCCCTTCCTGTCCCCCTCCTGTCCCTGCACCACGTGAATGACTCCTGCACTCAGCCCCTCTGCCCCTGGTTACACCGCAGATGCCGTGTGGACCCCAGGGGCACCCAGTGTGCACAGAGACATCTAACCCTCAGGGGACAGGGACCGGACAGGCCACTTCCCAGCTTCTGGCCTGGTTGGGTCAAGCCCTGGGTGCAGCACATGTCCTTCCCAAGGTTGGAACTCCCCAGGGGACACAGTGGCTCTCTTCCCTCCAGATGGTCCGTGTCTCTCTCGCTTTCTGCCCCCACTTCCTCCCTGCAGGTGTCGGCAACCTCAGTTAGTGGAAAGAGCAGGGTTTGGAGACTAGAAACTTCTTTAGACTCTGGCCCTGGTCCTTCCAGCCCTGTGACTTCAGGCTGGTCATGTCACCTCTCCAGACACAGTTTTGTCACCTAAGAGGAGGAACTGGCCCCGTGGGATTGCTAAAATGACCTACAAACCCCCCAGGTCCAGCAGGTATTGGGGGGGCAGTGGCCAAAATGACCTACAAACCCCCCACCAGGTCCAGCAGGTGTTGGGGGGGCGGTGGCCAAAATGACCTACAACCCCCTCCCAGGTCCAGCAGGTGTTGGGGGGGCGGTAGCTAAAATGACCTATAAACCCCCCCATGTCCAGCAGGTGTTGGGGGGGGCGTTGGCTAAAATGACCTACAAACC